GATTGGTACAGTGAGTTTAAAGCGTTGACCCAAGATGCTGTGCCATATACAAAACGCGGCATGTACCAGAGTGCGCTTGCACAAAAGCCAGCCATACTGCCATGTGATTTCTCTACAAAAGTCGGGTTCTGTAGATGCCACAAGTGGCCTCAAGCTCTCCTTTTTGTAGATGAAGTTTCAACAGGAATAGTTCCAGAATTTTGGATCCGGGTGTTGGATACCTCGAATGAATCGATTGTCCATCGCTCTGCTATCCCTCCATCTAAACTCGATCATGAATCTGATATGATACGCGGGGTCCAATCCCGTTTCCATGCTTAAATGATCCATCTTACCCCCGATCATGGCCCATCGACGCCCATCGACCCCCAGCGACGTCCAGCGACGCCCAGCAACTTCACCCGGTTCTGGTTGATGGGAGGTATAAAATTTGGGATCTGGGTCTTGAATACCTCGAACGGATATGTTTGTCTATCACTCTGCTATCTCCCGTTTAATTTTCGGAGCGATCTGACCCAGTTTCAAATTGCGTTTCCATGCGTGATCAAATGAAATTTCCCAAATATATATCATCCAACGTGATAGCGCTTCATGGCCCAGCAACGCCCAGCGACACCCATCGACGCCCAGCAACTTCACCCGGTTCTGGTTGATGGGAGGTATAGAATTTGGGATCTGGGTCTTGAATACCTCGAACGGATATGTTTGTCTATCGCTCTGCTATCTCCCGTTTAATTTTGGGAGCGAGCTGATCCAGGTTAAAATTGCATTTCTACGCATGATCAAATCAAATTTTCCAAATATATATCATCCAACGTGATAGCGCTTCATGGCCCAGCAACGCCCAGCGACACCCATCGATGCCCAGCAACTTCACCCGGTTCTGGTTGATGGAATGTAGATCCTTATAATATCACTGGACGCGGTCATACAAAACTATAAAGAATGAAAAAGATCAGGTTGTACTGGCCCCTGGTCGTCCCCTATATCAGGGTGCGTTGCCCTTCATGGCCCCAGCAGCTTCACCACCGGAGGTGGTCATACAAAAACACCACTTATATTGTAAACAAGGTCAGTTTTTACTGGCCCATGGTCTTTGGATCAAGTGGTTCCCTATATCGGAGTGTGTTGCCCTTCATGGCCGAACGATGCGACTTCACTTATATAGGAAAAAAGATAAGTTCTTACTGGCCCATGGGTCTTTAGTGGTCCCCTCCAAGGGGGTGTTGCCCTTCATGGCCCATCGACGTCCAGCAACACCCTTACTCACTTCGACTTCACCGGTGCTGGACGGTTAATCCTTGTGACCATGTATTTCTGCACGTGAAGGGAATAGCTTGTTTTGATCCAGATTCATGCCAAGTCATGATTGTGGACTGGACGTGGTCATGCACGTGCAAAAAAGCGGTTGAAGCTCTACAGAGGTGCGAGGACATTCTCCGCGCTTTGAGGCAGAACATCACAGCGGCTTGCCAAGGGACAAGCTTGCCAACGAGACAAGCTTCCAACGAGACAACCTTCCCTGAGATGCCCTGTTGTCGATGTCCACAAAGGTGAAGGCACAAGGCATCTGCTGCCACCCCCCATTGAACGATAGTGGGGGAAAAAGACAAGGTTTTAGGATAATTGTTGCGATGTCAGTGTGTAGGCCCATCATTTCCAATCCTTAATCGGTAATAAAGAAGTCCCCGTGCTGGCAGGTGAGCTGGGCCCGGCCGCACTAGCGACTGCAAGGGTGGAGTGGAATGGAGAGCGGGCACAGGCGTAGGATTAAACCATGTCACCCAAGTAGGTCATTCACAATTGAAAGGACTGTGACCTTAATATAAGATGGTCGGTATAGAGGTGCAACGAGCCCACAAACAGAAGTCCTTAGTCCTTTGGAGAAGAAGTCCGCTCTTGTCCAGCTTCTGAAAAATGTGAGTTCATGCAGCTGGATGAATTTTGGGTCAAGATCTGGGAGACTGTTCACGTTTGTTCCGCTCGCTGTTGGTTTTGTGGATTCGAATCCAGGGTGGGTGGGGATCAACAATGTCGATGACATGGAGGGTTTAGCTGGCAAACGGACGATCAGAGACTGTGGCGCAAGCCTCCAACAGAAACCAAATCTATGTCGACGCCTCAACTGAGTTGGAAATGGGCCTGACCCTCTCAAGTTGTCCAACTTGTTGGAGGGCATGGCTTTAAAGAGCGTAACCTGCTGTTGGTTTCCACTTATTCACGTGATGATGGTTTGTTTCCACTGTTCCTGGCTGTTGCGCTTTCCAGTTCGAAGAAATGGTCCATGTTCCAGTATACTAGAAGCCTGTTGGGGGCTAGCTAGAATTTGTGGCCCATCCATTGTCCCATCCACTATCCTTGTGAGTTGGGGAGAGGCTAGGAAAAATGATTTCAATAACACTGTTTATGATTTCAACAACTTTGGTTTTGTTACTTTCGGTATTTTTTTATGAAACACATTTATGAACCACAAAATGTGTGTTTTTACTTTATGTTTTTGGAAAACTCTATGATATTTTTCATGAACTGTGTTATGATTTCTTGATGCGCTCAACAAATCATACATTGTTAAAAAATCATAAGGTTCCACAATTTTTCATTGACCAATATGATAAAATTCGCATAAAACAAAAACTTTTTGGAACAATATGGATTTTTCATTCTCAAAAAATTGTTTCTCAAAAAATTGTCAAAAATCTTTCAAAAAATAAAAAGTTCAAATATCTTTTGACAAATTAATAAGCTTTAATGAAAAATATGTTTTTGGAAAAAAATATTTTATGAATATTGTCAATGTTCTGATTTGTTGAAAAACAAAAAATAAAACATAAAAAAGTCATAAAACAATCAAAATAATCGATAAAATCATAAACATCATAAAAATGGAATCTCCAAAAATTGAGGACCAATTGGTTTTCATATTTGGTCATAAAAAATCAGAAAAGAACACAACCCACAAAACAATTCTTTGGCTGTCTCCCTGACTCTCAACACTATCCACCATTCGTCCCAAACGTCGGACCAGCTTGGAAGTCGCTGGTGCGTGGGAAAAGCGGGGTCATGGGAGACTTGGAGGGGGATTGAAAACATGGCCAACCTTACCTGCGTGGGTACACTGGGCAACCCAGGTGCCATGACCCACCTTTTATCATGTGAACGATCGATTCCAGGTCATCCCCGCCCAAAATCATGTCTGACCTAGACGCACGCTTCTTCTTCAGATCGCGCGTCATCTTGTAGTGCAGAACACCAGCTTGCTTGTGCAGCTGCTCAACCCGGATGTATACTTCCCACCTTCAGCAAGTCGTTCTTTGTAGAACTCCTGTCCGGGTGTTACAAGGTAGTATTTGGAATCGATCGAAAACAATATCGAAGGTCCTGTGAACCAATATCGAGGATCCTGTAAAAGTTTTCGAAAAACTTGTCGATGTCGACAAGTGTGTATACAGCGCCTCATCAGATCCATGCAACTGGACCGTCAAAAGCTAGCTATAACCCAGTCGAATCCGCTCTTAAATTGGGCGTCACTGTCACTGGGGGTCGGTGGTCGTCGATGGGCCATGAAGGGCAAAACGCCGTGAAGCGATTACTGGGCAATAGCGCGGAAAAATCTGCTCCGCCCCCATGAGTCCAAAATAACCAAGCCCGAAGATCTTCCACCACGGTGTCACGGGGGTTCGAGTCCGGCATGGCGCAAAATCGGTCGATGGGAAGTGTTGCAGGGTTTCTAGTACCGCTATCGGAATGCACGTTTTGATACATGCACTTTGGTCAATTCGGACCTAAGTGCACGGTCCACCTGCGACAGTTTGAACCTCCTTTGAGATGTAGGCCGTTATTGCAACTGGTCTTTGAAATTGCGCGTGGCTCTTATTGTCATCCTGACATGTCTAGGCCAGGGTTGCCAAGGCATATATCATGGTCATGTTCAGTGACGCCCTCCCAGAAGGCACCATCATCCTCATCATCCAACGCCACAGGCTCCTTGTTTAGTAGTGTTGACGCACGACCCATCAAATGAAAAAAGTATTTAGTATGCATAGCCTAGAACCGCTTTCGAACCGCACGCTTCATCCCCCATCGCCCCGGAGCGGACGACGACCACGAAGATCGTGAAGAAAAAAGGGCATCCGGGCATCCACTTGGATGTACGATTTGGAATCAAGTGGTCTATAGATGCCATATTTTGGAGGAGATGTCCTGTTCCAACATGATCTTGCCTGAGATCCTGTGATCCAGATCTTGTTGCTGGTTGGTTTCCTGGTTTCTGCGAACTGTGAACCACTCACTTTTTGTACAGGAAACTGGTCTTCCAGGGAACTGTCCTGTCAAATGGATTCTTTCAGGCGGTGCATCTTTTGGGCATCATGTCCCAGACACGACCGCCTGAAGCCCCCCGCTGCGATGAAGGGCCGCTTGTGTTCATTGAGGATGTTTCAGGGCTGGGTCTTAGGGAACCAGCTGGCTGGATATGAGAATCCTCCAAGAAAAAGGGACCTGAAGAATCCCTGAGTGTACTCCCTTCACAGTGCTTTGCCCTTCATGGGTTGATGTCCCTTGAAGCAACATATGCAGACAAAATTCATGGTTTTCAGGTGAGCCCAAGCCTTGAATCAACCAGACCGAATGTGGGCCACCTCCAACGCTGGTTTTTGATTTAGATATCTTTATATAAATATATGGGTCGACTTCGAGGTGCTTATAGACAAGTCAAGTACGATTTTTTAAAGTCAAGTACGTTCATATGAATGAATTGCAAACGAACAAGCTTAACGAGTACTTTGGCTCACTGTCACATATATATATATATGTGTGTGTATAAATAATCATATCCATAGTATATATATATATACCCTGGCCTCAGTCCGCAACCTTCCACTTTACAAGCCCTGGATGCTTGAGCAGCAGGCACCCAAGAGACCCACATAGACCAGCACAAACTCACCAAGTTGACTGATGTTCTGTTTCCTTCTCCTCCTCCTCCTCCTCCACCGCCTGAGGCTTCGAAGTCTTGCAGGGGGGCCTGCAGCCCTTGTTGGCAGAGGCCGAGCGGGCCAGGGCGGTGCCGGCGAGGGATGTGGCTGGGTTGGTAAAGAGCAGTAAGACATGCTTAACATCAGCATTTTGACGTTGTACAATGTACCAATATGTAATACTTCAGCACGAAGATAGGGGAGGGAGAGCGAGGATGACACGGAAAAATCCATGTTTAGCCATGTTTCCACCCTGCAGGATCCTGTTTGTACATGCGGTTTGCCTGCTGTTGGGCGGGACTTGGGCGGGACAGCCGGCAGTTCCCGAGAACAAAGGAAGGGCAAGGCCCCTGGTGGCTGGAAAGGCAGCTCGAGAAGATCCGACTCGGCCTCACATCAATGGGGCACAAATCTACAGATCCCCGACATGAGAAGAGACATGAGAAAACAGAAATCCCAACCCCTGCAGTCGTCTAGTCGGGGCAGTCGTCATAGTCAGGCTGCCGGTTGCTGGGTTGCTGGGTCGAACATGTGCCAGGCTGAGAAGGCCTTGTCCGAAGTTCTCGAGGACTCGTCCTCGGCCGCGAAGTTTGGGAATTTTTTGGGTCCCGACATGAAGGGTTTGCTGAAACTATACGATGCTATACGGATGTTCATGCAACTGTTTTGCTTGGCGCTTGGCCAAAGAAGGACTATTTGAGTTTGGTTTGCCCCAAGTGTTTCCATGCGAGGAGAAGAGGAAAAGAGCATCGGCTGTTTTGAATCAAGCCATGCTGGTTTCAAAAGTCCCTGGTCGACCGTGCTTACCATGTCGTGATTGCAGCATCCGGTTTCCAAAGGACACTGGTTTTGAACCTCCTTCGCAAGATTGCCGCATCGACATAGATACTCTTCAAAGCGAGAGTTCTCCAGATGTGCCGCTTGGTTCCACTAACATGCTTCAGGTGAGGTGATGGACCGGGTGAACCAGTTTTCCGTGACAGTTCATTTTACCACGTGAAACGAACCAAGCCTGACCAACTTGATGTTGGATGTACAGTATACTGATTCGGGGAAACATATAATAGCTGACCTTATAGCTGACCTTATATGCATATAATTTGTTTTTACTGTAATAGAATTTGGCGTTCAGAGTCTTCACTTTGCAGATGAGTGGTTGAGTTAATTTGTAGATCCTGCGTTTTTGGACAGGACAAGCGCCTATACGTTGGGATCAGCATTTTCTGGTCATAACAATTTCTTTATTTCACTGCTATGTTGTCGCTCTTTTTGTAAGGGGTGGAACATGTTGTATACTACAAATTGGTGGTCCTAGCGTCGCCCGTTAAATTGTTGAACCGGGATGTATATGGCATGGTATGGCCCCCAGAACCGAACATACCATATATGCCTTCGCAAGGATCCTTTTCTTTCTCAGGCCTCAAGTGTTACTGTTTCAATAAGAGCCATCAATTTGGAACGGCTAGATGTTGCCAATCATAGTTCAACATATATATTTTAGGGTTCTTGTTTTTCCTTGCCATCCCCGGATGAGCCCATCCTCACAAGATAGAGACTGGTGAAGGCCAAGCCTGTTTTGGGTTGCGATTTAGCCTTGCGATTGACGGCGAACCAGGCCCAGCCGCACGGATTGGCTGCTGGATCAGCGCTCTGCCATGCTGGTGGACTCGTTCCGCGAGAGCTCGGCGCAGGTGGCAGGCGCGGCGAATGGAACCAACGGAGAGACCGTTGACCAAGGTGCCGTTTGATTCAGTGTGTTTTCATCGTTGTTTCCCACCAATCAGCGCATGTTGTTCTTCCTCATGGGCGTGAAACAATGTTAGTTGGTGCTCTCCTAATCCAAATTGGACTGATTTTCATGTCTTGATTGGCAACGCATGGGAACTGTAGCGGGTACTCTAGGACCCTAGGACATGCTCAGCAACAACCCCGTCCCCAGTGGCAGGTGGAACTTTGTAAGGCTCGATGAACTTGCTTGGGCCTAGGAGCAAATCCAGGGTAGCACTCTTCTTGGTATGGGGATGGTCTCCACCAAGGCCCCTCCAGCAGGATGTGCTGATTTACATTGCGTTTTTCGCACACGGCCAGGGTTGCAAGACCGGTTGGCTACAGTGGTGCAACGCTTGAACAAGCTTCGAAGTGGCTTTGATGGGCGTACGGAATCCTTGTAACTTGTAGCAGGGCCGCGGCCAGCTCTAGGGTTTAGTGAAGTTTAGTGTTCCCCTCCGCGATTGCGATCAGAAGACTGGACCAGGCTGACATGCCAATCTTCGCAGTAAGGTAGACACTTCGGAAGATCTGGGTCCCTGGTTTCGGGTGGCCAGGGACTTGCTCACAACACCAGCGATCGTCAGCCTTCAGACCCTCATTGACTAAATGGACGATCGGCTGGTGTTGAATCCCCGACCCCACGGTGGGTCGGTGGTTCTTCTCTCTGTTGATCGGCCTGGACATGCGGACGGAAGTATACGTCACAAAAAGAACCTGCATTTTGCATCCCAAACATAGTGCAAGCTCGAGAGCGTTTGTCGACACTTCTTCTTTACAAACAGCGTCAGGGGGATTCGGAATACCTAAGCTTCTGCCGAGTGCATTAGAAGCCTTGCTTAAGGATTTTGGGTCCTGGATGGAATCCTATGTATTTTCCTTAGTTCGGATCAACATGGTCCTGCCTGGTCTTGGGGAAAGCCATTTGCGTGACGCAAGTGCACGCGACACAGGCACAATGCCTTCACTACTCACAACTCTAGGTCTTTGGAAGGATACAAGGAAGAGTGGTCCAGAAATCTGTTTAGGTCAGCAGTGAGGCTTGCGAAAAGAGTTTGCGAGCTCAGATGTTGATATGCTTGGAATAGCTCAGTCATTGAGCTGGAGACTTGATGAGTGGCCATGGAGAATCGAGAACATGGAGATGGGGCCATGCCAAGTGCACATAGTTTCAAATCTTGTGCCCTAGCTGGGATGTGTGGCACAGGCGCAGGCATGGTGAATTCATTGCCCGATTGTTGCATGCCATGGCTAGCAAATATCCGCGTTCTTCTTGAAATGTTTTTGCAGGGTGCGTGCTATACTTCCAGAAGCTGTTTAATATTCATCCGCTGGTGCAGGACACCTGTGAGTATCGGTTGACATGATGATGTCTCCACCATCTATGGCTCCACAGGAGGATTTTTCGTGGTTGGCACCCTGACATCTACAGTATGTAAGCATCCATTGGTGCTCAAGATCTGCATCCTACCTGGTGCTAAAGATGTGCTTGGCGCTCAAAAGAGCTGAATCACGTCTCCTTCAGGCTGATGCTATCGCCCCGCTCGGACTTGACACGTCACCAATGTTCGGCTTTGGGGTTGCAGCCAGGGGGTGACATTTGAACCTGTTCCAGAAGCAAGAACATCTCCCATGCAATACTCATGTTGCAAACAGACCTTGATGCTACTGAATTTCAGTCTTGATGTATTCTGGCAGTCCTTTCTAACATGTCAGCCCCAGGTTTGAGGCAGCGACATGTTCGCAGTCCCTTGGGTTTCTGGAGATGCACGGATGCCTTCCAGTGATGGAGTCAGACAAATATGCTAGCCAACTCTTGATTTCTCATTGTTGCATCCTTTGATGGTTTACTGTAGCTGGCTTAATGTCAAACACAACCTTAGACTATCTTAGACTGCTCAGCAGGGAGTCAATCAACTTGTTGCTCCAAGAGCTCTGGTGGGTAGCCAATGCTTAGGGGTCCACGGTCCACGGGCCCGTTTCCGAGCCAATGCACCAGAAGGAGAAAAGGAATCCCTGCACTTTGGCCACCAAAAGGAACTTGCAAGTTGGTTTATCAGAGTTTATGCTGCACAGAGTCTGGAGAAGGGATTGATATGATGAGCTTGTAGCTTTTGGCTACCGAGTTACCTGTAAGCAAAAAATGAATTCAATAGTTTTGGAAAGTTGGTGATGGTCAACTAGAACGGAATGGCACAAGCGTGAACTGATCGCTTCATTGCACTCACAGGTGGGAACGGCTGTTCAGAAGGAGCGGTCTGAGAAGAAGCGGTCTCTTGGCCATGACGATGCCCCTAATGGTTGAAAAAGAGACAAAATTGTCCGCAAAAGAAACTGCAGTTGACTTGGGCAGCGAAGACTTCTGCAGGGTGGTTGTACTGTTGCTCGGGAACAGCGATGTGTCGCTCATGCAGAAGCTGTCAGAAAGTCGGCCAAATGCAAGCATTAAATGCTTCTTGTTTCTACTAGCTTCTTGTTACTACTAGTAAGGCACTTGTTACTAGAAGCGATGCACTTGTTCCTAGTAGCTTCTTGCAAGCATTGCATTTGGGGACGATCTTGGGAATTGCACGAGCCCCTGACGGAAGCCCAGTCCGAGGATGGTGGGCTTGCATCATGCTGAGATGAACGGCATGAAGGCAGTACCACACAGTGTGACGGTCAAAGGTCTCTTTGGGTTGTTGCAAGATTTGACCACATTCCTAGAAAAGTTCATTTAGGAGTCGAGGATTGGGAATGAGGATCACATGAAGGTAGTGGCCCTTTGCATATTTAACAGTGCTCCACTGAGAAGCCAATGGCGTTCTTCAGTTGTTTGTGTTTTTTTTTTTGCCGTCTCGTGTCCTGTGTGTTCAGACACTTACTGTATGTGCACAGTCACCAGATCAGGAAGCCGGCACCGGCCACGTCCATCAACAAACATATAGGGTTGCCCAGATTTTGCTAAAACCCGTCACAATCTAGATGCTAGTGATCGCGTGCAGTCACCACAAAGGTAATGATTCTTTGGGTGCTTTTGGGTAGGCAAGAAAGAATCAACCATTTTTGCTTCCATGGGTGCCAGGCATCAGTGTATATACAGATTGTGCAACATGTACTAAAGTAAATGTCTGCTTAGAGGGACGAACAACGTGGCCATTTTGGGTCAAGTCCCTGCACCCGAACAGTCCTCCCTGTTTTAAAT